GTATTATTTGCTTCACTGTACTAAAGAGTGTTCTTTAGACTGTCTCTGAGTGCTTCAGTATGCTTGAGTTTTTGATGAGCTGAGAGATAACAGGAAATCTATTTTGTGTGTGAGTGTGAGTGTGAGTGTGTGTGTGTGTGTGCGCGCATGTGCAAGACAAGTGTGAGACGAGAAATGCTATTTTATACCTAGATTCTTAGAAAACAATTTGCATTAAATGCTTAGAAACACATCTAGGGGACATAGTTGGATACCATAAATGGACACATATGTTGAATATGCATTATGATTGGATGAGATAGAAGCATCCTGGTTTGATTAGTATATAAATACTGAGTCAGAGTGTTATTGGGGGTCGCACTCTGCAGCCATGACTGTAATGGCTGTATGACTGTCACCTTTTCTTGTAAGAAAATACATATTCAAAAGACTTTTGTCTCATACCTTTATTGGGAAAAGAAAAATGCCACGACAATGATTTTTTTTTGCACCTTTAATAAATATTTTCAAAATGCACAAATTAATATAGAAATTTTTTTTATCTTACAAATTTTCTTTGGCCAAATGGTGGTTAACATTTTGATGAGTAAATTCCTCCTTTTAGAGAGTGCAATGGGATGTTTTTCTTACTCCCTGGTGAGAAAGCATACTGGTTGAGTTCACTGGCAAGCTGCCACCTAACAGAGTTAGTTGAGCTGTCTTTTTGTCTCACGCTACAAAATGCATTCACTAGCATTTTCTTCATGTATTTAGAAACAAAATGAAAATCCACTCTGCTTACAGAGCATCGTGTGTATGTTGTTGTGGTTTAGTGGTCATAAACAGTGGACTCCAAAAGTATGAGACCACATTGAAAATATAGGATTCAAAATGTCATTCAAAGATGGAAATACAAAGAAATGTTCGGGATTTGAAAAAAAATGTCAACGAAGTCACTGCCCAAATATGTATATTTGTGCATTGGTTTGTACTCCTTTGGACAAACAATCAGATCTTTTTGCTTTCATTAAAGCTCAACATGCTTCTTTTGCCATTCTCAAATCTTCCTAGAGAACATGATTCCTAGAGACAATCCGTTTTTCTTTTCTTTTTTATTTCTCTCAAATTCCTATGCAGAAGATTTAATTTGTAATGAAAAAAGTGTATTATTTAAAACATGCAAAATAGAAGCATTTTCTCTAGTGGACTTTAAATTTCCTGTGTGATTCAGCCTTTCTTTGTCTTTCTTCCCAGGTGTCACGTCTCTTTCTCAGGCCCTGTGCTCCAGTGATGACTACTCCAACTCTCTTCTTCATCTGGACCTGAGTAAGAACCCAGGGATTCTGTCTGGAGAGGATGCAACGGTTAGAACTTGCGTTTATCTCACTTTTACTTCTAATATTCTTTAATTAAGCTAATTACATTTACTATAGTTAAAGTTGTGGTGTAACTGTTAGCGCAGTATTGGCAAGCAATAATCTTAAATTTAACTGTAGCTTCCCTAGTTACAAACTACTCATAAATTAAACTGGTTAAACGTACACAACAATTATTTAAAAAGTAGGTACATTGGGGCCATTGTGAATTTAAATATGAAGCTATTAGTATTAAACAACATTTGAACATGTAAAAGAACCTCCAAAAAAACAAAAACAAAAAAAACAATTGAAAACATTAGAATTTAAATAACACAAAACTTATATATGTGGAAAACTGTTGAACAGCAGCATTGAATATGGATATTTATATATAATTAAATATTAATTAATAAAATATATATTTTCTATATATACTATATATATTCTTTTTACATAACAATAATTGACACAAAATATAGATTTTAGATTAGTATGATAATAGTTCCATTATAAAGCTTTGTCTTCATCATTGGGACCATGAGGTAGCACCTCAAGGTTTTTTTCTTTTTCTTTGTGAGGACCAACACTTGGATGCTGAAAATAACTCACACAGAGACAGGTACATGGTCGGTCCGTGTAGTTTTGCGTCCATTCTTTTTTGCTTTTTTAACCATGATGAAAAAAAAGAAAGAAAAAAAAGAACAGTTGTTGTATTTTTAAATGAAAACCAAAATTGAAATTAGAGCCGTACACATAAAATGCTGTGCGAAGAAGTAAAATATTGACTTATTTTCAGATTTTTGTTTACGATTGAGGAAATTTTATTTCTATATGAAATATTATTATTATCGGTATTATTTGCTTCACTATACTAAAGAGTGTGCTTTAGACTGTCTCTGAGTGCTTCGGTTTTGCTTCAGTATGCTTGAGTTTTCGATGAGCTGAGAGATAACAGGAAATCTATTTTGTGTGTGTGTGTGTGTGTGTGTGTGTGTGTATGTGCAAGACAAGTGTGAGACGAGAAATGCTATTTTATACCTAGATTCTTAGAAAACAATTTGCATTAAATGCTTAGAAACACATCTAGGGGACATAGTTGGATACCATAAATGGACACATATGTTGAATATGCATTATGATTGGATGAGATAGAAGCATCCTGGTTTGATTAGGATATAAATACTGAGTCAGAGTGTTATTGGGGGTCGCACTCTGCAGCCATGACTGTAATGGCTGTATGACTGTCACCTTTTCTTGTAAGAAAATACATATTCAAAAGACTTTTGTCTCATACCTTTATTGGGAAAAGAAAAATGCCACGACAATGATTTTTTTTTGCACCTTTAATAAATATTTTCAAAATGCACAAATTAATATAGAAATTTTTTTTATCTTACAAATTTTCTTTGGCCAAATTAGAAGTAATGCTTCTCCCCCACGTTCGATTGAGAACTAGAACCGTCTCTACAATGCAGAGATGTAATAAATGGCTATTTAAAGTATGATTTTAAAAAATAGACATTGCAGAATCCTGTCCCAACTTCATGAAGGGCTAATAGAAATGCGATGTCCAAGAGAAATGCGGTCACTATACTAACACTGTACTATACATTGCTTTCAACAATTAGCCTTAAATGTCAAATCTGGGTATGGGAACTTTTATTTCATATATATAAAATATATGTTATGTTATGAAATTATATATTGGGGTATAATTTTGACATAATTTTGTGTGCTATCTGGGTCACGGGATCTGAGAGGACATGATGCTTTAATATACATATATGTTGTTTAGAAATGGTCTGTTTTAGAACAAATATATAAAAATATAATTTCTCCAGATACAGGCAGACCCCATTCCAGAATCAAATCACTGAGGGTGCTTCTGAAATTAGTGAGGGTGCTCTAGCCTTAAAGGCACAATATGTTTGATTTTTTTAATTAAAATATCAAAAAACCACTAGAACAGTGTTATATATTATGCTGATTTGTGTACTTACATTATCCCAAATGTTTCGAAGAATGTTTAAATCCAGAGAAATAAGCAATTTTAACTAGTGACATGGACCGTTTCCATAGTGTCATTGTGTCGCCTGCTAATGACGTCATACACCCTCGATTTCTGGTTTTGTTTTGTAGAAAATATGGAAACACCAAACACGCTTTAATATGTTGTGAGTTTTAATAGA